ACTCTTCCTTTGTTTCTGAAACAGCTGAAAAGTGTAGCATGTGCCAGAGAGAAGAGATCCTACTATGCAGGGAATCCAACTCAAGTTCACAAAAATGTCTGATATTTACAAATCCTACAAGTGTGGTATTCTATCCTTCATCGGCTTGAGGAAGTAAAACTGCGATGAACTCTGAGGATCTACGGATTAAGTACCGCAAACACTGTCATTGTGTTCCTGATATTATATGTCAGGTTTTGAGGCAGATTTCTTCTACGCAATGGAATTGATTCTCGTGAGCATCACATCAATCTGATCCCGAGTCTTAGAGAACCCGTCTGTCTTCGACCTCTCGAACGCAATTTGCACCACATGGTCCGTCATGGGTTGGTGGAGACTCCACAACAGGTTGGACGTCTTGTGAGCAGCAGAGAGTCCGTCGATCGCCGACACGATGCCGGTGCATATCGACCCGAGCGGCAAGATCCAGAACGGCTCTTCGATCACGACCCCGACCTCTTCGATGTAGAACAGCGCCATCCCTGTGAGGAACGTCGCAGGAATGGTGAGCCAGCCGCAGTCGTTCCAAAGCGCCAACGGCAGCGCCGAATGCCAGAGGATCAGAAACCTGGACGTGACCAGCGTGTACGCAATCGGGATGGGCGTCTTGAGGATGCGCTCACACGCGCCCACATTGTCGTGGAAGGTGGTGATGTTCTCATCCATGGACATCTTCTCCCATTGGGAGATGTGGCACTGGTTGATGAGCTCAGAGAGCACCTGCAAAATGTAGTTGGGGCGGTGCGGGGAGCTCAGGATGCTCTCCAGCTCGTGGGGCTCAACAATGCCGACGAGGTCATCGCGGAGAGTCTCATCCTCCGTGAGATGGTCCTTGAGGCAGAAGGAGTATGCCTTGATGTGGCGCAGGAGGCTGAGTAATATTAAGGAGTCCCCTGGCTGGCTTATCCATGTCAGCGACTGGCGCACGAGATCTCTGGTCCTGTTTACATTCGATCCCCAGAACTTGCGAGCTTCTTCGAATCGGTTGTAGGACGAGTTGGTTCGGAAGACGAGGAGGAGAGACAATACTGAGGAGGTGAGGGTGAAGGGGAGGGAGGCAACGTGCAGGATCGGCATCCAGGTGGGGAGATGCCCATTTTGAACAAAGTGGTTGAAGATGGTGACGAACGTTCCGAAGAGGGTGCAGACGAGAACTGGAGGAAACACGGCGAAGATGACTCCTGAAGAGAGGATACTGAAGATGTGGCGGCCGTGCCTCCAGGACGATTTGTGTCTTGCCCATTCCAGATGGCCGTAAACCTTGTTCCGATGCATGATCTTCTGGGGCTACAAAAACCAAGCCTCCGAAAGAAATTTCGTTCAAGTGGAGATGCCGAGTGCTTCACCCCTACTGATCGAAGATTTCAGATTTAACTCAGAGGGTGGTATTGCGCGCGCTTACCATGCCATCGTAACCTCAGATTTGGTGAAGCATATAAAATTCCAACTGCTTGGTCTACGGACACAGGAATGTACAAACCTGTTCTTGCGAGCGAGGACCAAACAGTAAAATACCGCCGCTACAACCCAATCCTGGAACTCCAGTTGAGTAAGAAATGTAGAACTGAATATTCTTCATTCGCGAAGAGAAATGAAACACAGAGGATCTCAAATTATGGTGCAAGTCTAAACGACACAAACCGATTAAGATCCGTCCACCTTAAAGCTGCAAAACTTTCAAATGCCTGCTTTCTAACCTCCAACCCACTTCCAAGGACTGCTTGCTCCTCAGGTGTAACAAGTGAAAACTCCTGAGAGGCCCAATGCCTGAAATCCAGGTCCTTCATTTGTAAAGCCTGTAGCTTACTGTATGTGTTCCTGAGGCAACTGTACTTCATCCATAGACAGTCCGTGTGTACCTGTCCTGGTGCCATCGAGTCAATGGCCGAAGTTATCTCCGAAAGTGCTGTACTTGCGCATTCGTGAAGTGGAAATTGTTCGAACTCCCAGGCTTTGGAAGTGTGTGGACAAGAATGTATCAGTATTCAAAGAGGACTCTGCCTTTTGAAGTGTGGAAGCAGCCAATGAGCCACCGTGGAGGAGCCATTCACACTCAACTAAATTGAGTAAAGAAATTCAACACAGGCGAATAATGGTTCGTTTTCTTGATGATTTTCCGGCAGGTGATAGAGACTTCGCAGGAGTAATGGTAGAGGATCTGCGGAACAGCGAATCATCTAGAATAGTAATCATACTACTCGGCATTAGTAAATTTTAATCAGATTATGTGGCATCAAGACAAGCACTTTTGCGTGAAGACAAGTTTCACATGAAATTGGGTGTAGAAGAGTTTTTTTCTCCTGCGTGAGGCGACGACGGTGTTGAAGGGACTATCCAGTCAATAGCCTCAATGCAGGCAGGTGGGGTTTGGCAGCAGGATGGCGACCTTGTGAATAAGTCTTTTGAAACTATTGCAGACACTCACAGGACTTTTACGCAAGTGTGGCAATTCGGCTCATGACGAAAGTGAACCATCGCCTCAGTACAGCAGAAACGCGTTATACACGGCATAAATTAAGGTGAAACACCTTTTTCCAAGGATTTTTTCATACGTTTTCAACTAGTCCTCAATTCTTTGTCCTTTGTTTTTTCTTAGGCAGAGAAGTCAGAAATGTGCAGTAGGGACAACCATCATAGTACTGCACGGAAACAAAAAGGATTGATCAAGACGTTGAAAAGTTCGCTTAAATATGTAGCTATACAAATGCTGATTGGTCTCCTGGAATCTGTCTGTACCTCCTAACGGTGGAGTAGGCCCTGCCCCCAACTCCACGTAGAACTTCCAGCCTGAGATTGCTGCATGTTAATCCACACAAATTAACATGTCCATTAATTGCATTTTGGATTTGAGGATTGAGGACCACCATCACCACCGAGAAGAAAAAAGGAGAAAAAGTGATGCAATCCAACGTTTCAACTGCAGAGTGATAGAACTGAAGCAAAACAAGCTTTGTATTCCTGTTAGTATAGGTTGAATCTTTCGTATGCTTAGTTAACTCGATAAGCGCCTTTGATGTAATGGGTGATGGAAGTAAAATATCAATTGACTTGCTTTTTGCAAGGAAAATAGTGAAAGCTTTGGAGGATGTAGTTGAATCACGTTTATTTCTCTAAGTCTCTTCTACAAGAAGCAAACCGTGGAATTATAATGTTGGGTCAAGTACTATCTCATTGTACACCACTTCCACTTCGGATTCCAAATTCTTGTTGGAACAAGCATCCTCATGTACTCTTGATCTATACATGAAATTCCAAAATTAAAATTAAGAACTCAAAAATATATAAAGAACTCAAAAAAAGCATTAAACTAAGAAATCAAATTTTGATGCCTATTTTTGAATCTTTGAACTTTAAAAATATATATTATAATTGATATTATAATATAAAATCAGATATTAAATGATTTTTATGAAAAAATTGTATTTGTATTCAAGATTTGAGATAGAATTTTAGGAAATTAGAACTTTAGAATTTAGAAATTAATTTCATAACAAGGAGTATAGTTGGAATTCTTAAAATGAACATTGTTGTTCTATTTTAAATACAGAGAATTTTAATAAAAATCCACCAATTGTTTTGCAAGTTTAACTCTTCATTTCCACTCTTTACATAACATAGGTCTTATGGATGTATGAGCCATTGTAATTCTTTAGATGTGCTATATCTAATTGCTACTTAAGAAATTAGGAGCCAAGTATTTTACAACATATAAACAATATTTAAGATGTGGTACATAGAATCTTTACTAAAGAGGTCAAGAGTTCAACCATTGGCTCAATAATGTAATGCACAACTACTTGTAAATCTTTGCAATTTGTAAGACATGGTTTTAATAAGTGGCAATCTCAACTTCTTCATTTCTAAGATCTTTGCAATTTCCTCTCAATAATTTTTGTTTCTAATATTGGCAAAGATATTATAAGTTGTTAGTAGTATTATAAGTCTTTGTTATTATTAAGATGGTTGAATTGAGCTTTGTAAAGTTTTAGATATAAATAGTCATACAAACAAATGAACGAATGTAAACAAACAAACAAACAAAACGAAATTATTATTTTAAAAGTGTAGGATATACAGAAAATATAAATATCAAAAAAATTATATACATTGTTTTGTGAAATGAAATAAAATTTGAAAATTCTAATGCAAGAAAAAATTAGAAACACACACACAAACACATGTAAGTACATGTATATATATATATATAGAATTAAGTGTTATTCACAAATATAATTTATGAATAAAAAGTTAAAATAGTGCTTATTTAGAATTTTTGAAATACACACAAGTAACTATAATTTCTATAACAATATTGTTTAGTTTACAACTATATAACGACATAAATTAGAGAGAAAAGGGCCTTTTAAGTGTTTTGTAAATTTTATGTCATAAATTATAGAGTTGATAACAAAAACTAATACTTATAAAAATTCATTGTTGCTTATAATTTATTCATAATCTTCTTAAAAATTTTAAATCATATTCCAACTTCTAATAATGTATTCTATATATAATATATATTAATATGTCGATTTAGAATCTGTTAAAACCTAACATATTTTTTAACAACAAATTCTTTTAAAGAAACAAGTTTTATTATATCTTAAAAATTTTAATTTTTAATTTTTAATTTTTACAAATTAAACTCATTATTATATTCAATATTTTTCCTCCTTTAGTTAATTCTATCTCATACAGATTAAAAAAAAGTATTGAGATTTGTAAGATAATTCTCATATATATGTAAGATTACAAAGTTATTCTATAATCAAGATGGCAATGTTAAAATTGAAATTTAATATACGAAAGCAATTAGCTTTGATTTTTTCAAAAATATAGATGTAAAACAGAAATACATATTCATATCTCTTTGAACTTAAATGTTTCAATCATTAGTTAAAAGAGTTGGACTAGTTAATAGATTAATTTTTACTGCTGTAAAAATATAAAGAAGTAAATTGTAAAAATTATATTTTTTCCTATTAATATTTAGTATATAGTTCAAAGAACAAAATAAAACCAAATTCCTCAAATTGATGCGCTTTTTAATGAAGTAGTATACTTAGTTGTTAAATGTTCATCCTCACGATGTACAGCTCCAAAATTTCACCTTGGTTCTACTCTCTCTACCAACTCCTATCACCCTGGACCCTCCATTTTGCATCACTATTGTGCTAATCGGTTCCACATCGATCTTATGTACACCACAAGCGACCACACAGCCAACCCTGCCGACACGTATAGCAGACTCACACCTGCTGCTCCCAGTGCGACTCCTCCCCTACAGTCCCACAACCCATGCTTACCAACACCAATACCACATCCGCACCATCAACAACGCTCGCATCACATCGCCACACAACCTCCCTCCACTCACCAGCATTCAAATTCACCCTCCCCTACATCCTCCAAACACATCACGTACCCGCCATCCCGCCCCGCCAGCAGCAACGTCAGAGCTACCATTTGTGCTGCTGTCTTCCATTTCCCCAAGCTGTTCACCGCCACCGCCTGCAACTCCACCTCTTCGTCAGTCTCGCACACTCGCCTTACCTCTCTCATCTTCCCATCGCCCGCACCCCATGCACAACCACACCACACTACCACCACCATCACCACAGCAACAACAAACTACCAACAACCCCATTGCCTTATCCCCCACCCACTGTTCACAACTCACGCTACCCCATCGCCCGCCATGTCTACCTGCCGAACGTCTCCGCCCTGAGATGCAGCCCACTCTCGCAGTGCCGACATCGTGATCTGCACATCCCACTCCCCACTCCGGTCATGTATCACCGCTTCCCCCATGCCTGTCACAAACACATCCCCCTCACCACCATTTCCCACTCGCCAAAATCAACACCCCCTTCATTCATCTCCATCCTCCCTCCCCCACCCGACCGCACCACCCACTTCAATTCCCGCCCTGCACCCCGCACCCACTCTACCCATCCACCAACCTCATGCACATTCCATCCGCCTCTCCCATTCCCTACTCCCATCCTCCCTCCTCCACACATCTCACTCCTGCAAGTACCTCGCGCCCGATGATCGTGATCGCTGGCACCGGAAGCAGCCAAGGCCCCACCTTCGCCAGCGCCGCTACGGGAGGTCTTGTGCACAGCAACACCAATGTGGTCGCCACCATCAGCTGCACCACCCCCCACCAACCTTGCTCACTGCACCATCCACATTCTCGCATCCCGTCTCTCCCATTTCTACCAATCCAACCCACTATCCCACTCTGCCTCCGTCTCCTCCCATTGCCCTTCACACGCTCCACACCGTGCCCTAACTCACGCCCACGCAACAGACACAACCCACCTTATCTGCAACCGGATCCAAGAAAGCCCCAAACTCCGAGCTCGACCCCATCTGCCACACCACACGCCACACGCACTGTCATTCCACCGCTTCATCCTCCCCCCACGCTACCACCTCCTCGCATCCACAACACCCACACGCACCACACCATCATCCACGATACCTTTCTCGCCAGATACCCGTCCAGCCAGTCCGTCACGGCTGCCACCACAAAGATGGTCGCCCCTGCCGTCGTCGCCCATTTTTCCTCACAATAAAACACTGCACCCAACCATCCACAATCAGCTCCGCACATCATATCCACCACAAGCTAACCCTAAACCTCCCCCCCTTCGCTGATTCCTTCCCGCCTGCCCACACCATTTCCATCCACCCCGTGCTTCCAAACCATTCTCCGCATTGCAACCCACCCGCATTTCAATCTCCCTCCCACCCTCATGCCACTCCTGCACCACTCCACATCCACTGCCGCAGGCCACCACCGTCGAACGCTCTCAGCATCTCGCAACCGTACCGCCACGCAATCAATCACCATGTCAGCACACACACACCAAACCAATCCATTGCGCGGTGGGAAGCCTACCAGCAAGCAACGCAGGCACCGCGGCCACTCGCGCCAACGTCAGAATCGTCGGCAGCGTCAGAAACTTCTTCTCCGATGACCCCACATAGCCGTCCCCGCTCCCCGCCTTCTCCCCATCCCCCTCGCACTCCTCCGACCCCACGCACCGAGTGCACAGATCGCGCACCTGCCTCACATTCCTCGCCACTCTCGCACCCCCATCCCCAGTCAGTGGCGGCATCACTGCGACGCCACGCGCATTTCCGCCCAACACCCACCCGCAATTCCCCGCCACCGCCCGCACTCCTCCCACTCCCTTCACCACCACCTCAGATCTACGCCGCGCACCAACCCGCCCAGTCGCGGCCGCGGCTCCATGCCTCCTGGAGCCTCCAGTTGCGGTGACGGTGGGCAGCACCAGCACCAGCAATGCGGGGGCACTGCAACAAACAAGACTCATGTCAACCCCACCTCCAATTCTCCACCACTCTCCCTCCTACCCACAAATCCCACCTCGCCGCCCACCCTCCCAGAAACCTTAATTCAAACAAGTAGGGCTGTGAAGTAGTTAGCATTACTGTAGTATTCAGGAAATCCTGAACGTGACAGTCGTTACGACTGAAGACGCAGAGCGTGGTGCCTAGTCGTAGAATCTGGAATGAACTGAAGCCATAATCAGGGAAAAGATGAGGTCCATGGACATCAGTATGCAGGAAATGGCAGTGATTGGGGAGCACACAAGCAGAATTGAGTGAGGGACAGGGATGGGGAGTGGCGATGGCGGAGGTGGGCCATGCTCCTCTTGCCTCGCGAGGTGCCTTCCACTGAAGATTCACTGAGTGGAGTCTCTCCGATGCTTGCTTTCTTGCAAATATCTTTTACTGAGCATTCATGGCGCATGTTTTGTCGGTGCCTTTGTGGAGTCGCTCCTTCGACGTTTCCACCGTTCTCGAACGCCGTTCACGCATCTGTATTAAGTCTTTGTGTGCGTGGACCTTCGTGAGGCTTGGAACTATGGGAAAGGCTTATGTCCGCTGATTGAGTTTATTATTGGCGCTTGGGATGTGAGGAAGGATGATGAAAATGTTAGGACGATTTTTAATTCTTTTATTCTGTAAAAATGTAATATCGAGATACTAATGAAATTAAAATAATAATTATGTTTTTACACGTATTTTTTTCATATGCATACACACTTTAATATTGGGGCCTCTTGGTTTGCTTTAGAAATAACATGTTGTAGTAAGGTATTGAGGTGTATTGTAAAGCAATCAAATTTAGATGGGTATGTGGATGGATGAGTCAATATATATATATATATATATATACACATACACCTCTTAATTTAATTGAGAAGTGTTTTAAATTTGTTTAAATTTGTTTAATATAAAAAGCTTATTTAGATTTAATATTTTGTGGATTAAATTTTTTGTAGTAAAAACATATTTTAAATACATCTAGAATACCTATCAGTAGATAATGAGGTTTTATTTGTTTAGATTTAACTTATGATTCAATATCATATAATTCTCCAAGAGATTTTTCTTTTGGGGGTAATTAGTTTGTCATCTTGGTATAGAATAATCTATGGATGAACATAAGGCAAAACACATTTAAAAAATTTAATAACATAAATATGTGCAATAATTTGCTTTAGAATATTACAACCTATTAATAAGACTTTTAAAATTTACAATTTTTTAATAAAAAAAATCAGGTGATAAAATTATGCATTTTTTAGAGGTGTTTTTCATTTCAATAATTCTTCCAATTTTTTATTATTATTTTGTGTAGCAAATAATAATAATATAAATATTTAACTTAACATATACTTACATTTTATTTATAATATCATGGTCCCAATAGTACGTATATGTTGTACTTCTTGTAAAGAATAGAAGGTAAAACAATGCATCTTCTTATATCAATAAAATCTCTATTATGTTATAAGTAGTCAATTAATATTTAATTTTTAAATTAATAAAATAATATATTGATTTAATTGGATCAAAAAATATATATTTGATTAATCTTTGTATATTAATCAATAACATGTTGTTCAAAAAGTGTTGCATATAAATACAAAAAATATTTTTAGACATAACAAAATATAAGTAATATAATGTATTTTTTTAGATTAGAACTTCATATTTAGTTTATTTATTTATTCACTATTTTTCTATTAGCTTTCATGATATTGATTTTTATATAGGATATTTTTTTATATAAAAATATAATAAAATATATTATTAGATTATATATGATGTATTTTATTTAGTCTATTAATAGATCTAATTATAGGAGAATGATGGAGCAATCCAAATTTTTATTAAAACAATCTACTCTATCTTAACTATTATTACACCTATGCAGCCATCATCCTTGTTCTTAGCTATTTCTTATTTTTAATTGTTGGTAAAGACAAAGATGCAAGGCTAGAAATGGTGGCGACAGTTGAACACATGGAAATAGTTGGGAATGGAGGCAATGGTTGAGAATATGAAAACAACTAAGAATAGGGACAACTGTTGAGAACATAGAAATGACTAGAAATAGAGGCGACAATTGAGAATAGGGGAACAACTAAGAGTAGAGATAGTATAAGAAGATATAGATAAGATAATTTTATAGATAGATAGAACCATGAAAGTTTTTAGAATTTGGGTTAGATTAGTGGACTACATAGGACCGATCGTGGAGCATTCTAGAAAGAGTTTAGGGTGGTTATTTGGATAGAGTCTATCATGGAACTTTTTAGAAAAGGCTTAGGGTAATTATCTAGGTGGGGCTTAACATGGAACCTTCTAAAAAAGGAATTTAAGGCAGTTATCTAGGTAGGATCCACCACCTAGGAACATTCTAGAAAGTCTAAGGTAATAGGACAAGGTATAAATAGGATTGGCCAAGGCCTTTTGGGGCATGTGATCAAGTATAGCTTCAGATCCTTTTTCTTAGTAAAGTTTGGTTTTTCATCCTTTTATTCAGTTTTATTTTGTTTTATTTTTGGTTGCTCAATTTGTCTTTCATATCCTATTTTTTTTAGTTCTGTTTAGTTCTGTTGTGATCTATTTTGTCCTATTTTGTGATGAGATTTTATGTTGCTGTGGAATAGAAGGATCTTAGGTTTTTGAGATAGTTTGGTCTTGTTTCAAACAGGGTTGAAAAGGTATAATAATGATTTAAAACTTATAGATCGATTAAATTAAAATTTGAATTATTTTATCAATTTTTTAAATAATAATACTAATAATAGAAATTTTATTGAATATATTAAAAGAAAGAGTCTCACTTTCAAAAGCAATTGGAAAAGATATTATTTTATAAATTATAAGTGGAATAAACTATATGCATGACATGAAAGTAGCACATTGTGACCTAAAGTTTGATAATATTATTACAAATTCAATGGATATCTTAGAGATAAATGATTTAGAATTTATACATGTAAAATTTCTTGATTTTGGTATATCAAAGGTTAAAAGTGAAAATACTCCATAAGTATATATAGGAGAAAGTACTTACCAACTATTAGATATATATCACTTGAAGCCATAAAGAAAAAAAGAAAATCTTTACAAGAAGTGGATGCTTTAAAAATTGATGTATTTATTTTTGGCATGTTATATAGAGAGATTATTTTGGAGTCAAAACCTTTTGATGATATATATCTTTTATAGTGCTTATCAAGAAACTACAAAAAGATATAAAAGATCTAATTTTCTAAAATCTTCTAAAAAAAATTGAAATTATTGATAGAAAATTGTTGGTTATTGGATCCATTGAAGAGAACTATATTACTTGAGATTTATACAAGGTTGATAATACTAAAGAAAAAATTGCTCCAAGGTCCTTGAAAAAGTAAAAATCTTAAAAAAAAAAAAAAAAAAACATATTCTATAGATTGACATTTTTTTAGATTTGAAGTATTAGTGGATAAGTCTAAAAGAAAATTTGTGAAATATTATATAACTATGTTTCTTTTTTTTTTGGTAATATTTTTCCATTTTTATTCAATTCTTATGGTTTGCATCTAAAATTAGATAATTTAATCCTACCACATAATTGGTAGTTGTTCAAAAATAAATTGATAAATAAGGTGTATGTGTGTGTGTATTATTATTATTATTATTATTATTATTATTTAATATAGTTGCAATAAATATTGTAATATAATATAGTATGTAACTTAGATCTTGAGTTATATAAAGATATTAATATTTATATAAATTATATTGCAATTCAAATTTGAAATCTTGTGAATTATTGTAGGTTAATGGAAAAACTACCAAAAATTTAAAATTGATTGATATAAATAAGAAATTAATTGAATTAAAAAATAAACTATAAATTTTTAGTAGTTTGCAAATAATTGAGATGGATAGAATTGACAAGTTAACATTGGCCAAGGCTTTAAATAGTCATATCTTTATCAAGTTTGAAACAACACGCTTTATAGATAAGTTAAAGAATAGATAATGCAAGCTTGTATTAAAGAATAAGTTAGAAGAATTGCACAAGTAATCTCAAGTATATTCTTTATAAGAAGGAAAAAATATCTTATAATATGTTCAAAAAACAAAGAAGATTCTTATTGTTGTAGATGATGTAAGAAATGACAATCAATTGGATGAGGTATTAGGTATTGATAAATTTGAAGATGATAATGTTAGTAAATTAATTACAATTAATCAAACTTGGAACTCTTTAAAATAATATATACCAAAAAAAGGTAAAGTAGATATGAGAATCCTTAATAGAGTCTAATTTTTAGAATTGTTTTCTATGCATATCTTTGCAACCAATAAACCTTCTTGATAATATTTAAAGGATATAGCCAATAAGATTGTTAATACTTATAGTAGAATTCTATTGAGTTTGGAAGTGAAGGACATTTATTTGCATAGAAACCAACAATTACAAATATGGAAATGAATTATGTAAGATTATTGCAAGCAAAATATGATAGAAGTGGAGATGAAAAAAATTTGGAATACATTACAAATCTTCTTTAATGATCTTAAACTTGATGGAAAAAAATATGTTTTTAGATGTCTCTTATTGTTTTTGTAATGATTCTTATCTTAAATAGATATTTGAAGAAGAACTATTACATACTTTAAATGATGATGATGGAATTCCTAAAGAAGCCCTTTACAATCTCAAAGATGAATCATTATTAGTTGTGGATGATTTTGGAAATTTGTAAATGTATGATCAATTGCATGATATGAGCTGCAAACTTGCAAAGGTAGAATTTGGAAGATCTTGAGATCAAAATCTATCTATGGCTATATTTAATGATTATAATCAAAAGTTAAGTGCTATATCATTGGCTTGTCTATTCTTATATTTTTTATGTGTATGAATTTACATGTTAGTAAGTTGTTTATTAGAAAGAAATTATTTAATACAAAATTCTTATTTGTGTGTACAAGATCCAAAATTTATATAAGATCTATCTTTTACAAAGCGAAAGTAAGAATTAAAGTATCAAAAATATTCAAAAGTAGATACTATAAATTATGCAAATCTTCATTTATTAATTCTTTACTTATATGAGGATTTTAATCTTATTTTAACTCTTGTAGAACAAACTTCTAAACTTCAATGTTTGAATATGCACTTTTTATGTGAAGATCATATAGTTAAAATCTAATAAGATGATATTGGTAGGTTTTGAAATATTGCTAAGTACAAGGATCTTAGCCAAATGCATGTGCTTTACCTAGACAATTATAAATTTCTTGAATCTTTTTCAAATGATTCATTCAAATTATTAACATTGATAGATCTACACTTAAAAAATTATACAAAGTTAAGAAAGAATTTGGATAGTATAGCATTCTTA